CTGTGTTTTTCTTTCCAATTCCATGCCAATCGATAATTTTATTCTTGATAAATTTCATACTCTCATAAGGTCGCCAAAAATGGCCACAGATCCCTTGCTTTTAAACTCGGGTGTTACCTTTACCGAGTATTAAGTATTAACGAACGATACACAAATTTCATCTTATGACATGTTCGAATACAACTTCTAATTAATCGCTGGCCATCGAAGTTGACTTTCGACTGATTCTATAGATTTACGTATAATGCAATTGCTAATTGCCAGACTTAATTCGGAAGGAGAGATAAAAAAAAATTTGATGTTCTATTGTAAAATATTACTAGCCGGCCACTGAAAGTTCAGGAAGATTTGAAAAGAATAAAAAAGATGATGAATTTTAAGCTCGGTAATAAAAAAAAATGAAAAAAAACCAACAGAAACATGTCCTTTCGTCTTTTCACGAGCGAGGCGTAGAAACTAGGATAGAGCGTGGAATCCTATGTTCGACTACTCATTGGGACTCAGGTTTTTCCCCTTTTGTTTTAAGCTCGTTAATAGACGAAAAAACATCTTTACTCAATGATTTTGTATTTTAGAAACTGTTAAGGTCAGAATCCGCGGTCTTTTAGCGAATTTCACCCAACCTTTGAAGGTTTCAATTTTAATTTTCAATTTAATTTAAGCGTCATTTTCTGCCTCTTAAAAATGAGAAATGGAAAAAATGGGAAGATAAAGTCTCTATTACATTGGAATTATATCAATTATTTTCCACTTTAGTCTGGAAAGATTTTGTTTTGCTCTTAATAATCGACAATTCTTCAAAAGTAAACCAACATCAACAACAAAAGCAATTGGCAACAATAGGAAATAATCAAGAGAATATAAACTTTATCCACTCTTAGGAAAAATTTAAGTCGATAGCATAATATTATGATCTTAAAAATTAAAAAATTCACTTCAACATCTTAAGTTCTTTTTTTACGACATTTTTTAAAAAGTAACTGCGAAATGTTTACTTAGTTACTTCTAGATGTCATAGTTTGATGAATCGAACTGCGGGAAATATAATGCATGACATTTGTCATGACTGAGCGGTTTATATCTCTTATTTTCTCAAAGGTCTCTTGCTTTTGACAATCAATTTATTGATGTTTTTATTCATTCTCCTTCTTAAGACTTTCAGAGGAAAATTTTGTTATTTTTCTATCTGCGCCGGATATTTTGCAAGGGCAATCAAATTCAACTGACGTGTCGGAAACCAATTGAAAAGAGTTTGTTTATTTAACTTTGTTTTTCCCCCTGCGTAGGAGAATTTACTTCTCGCTGTAGTTCGGATACTATTTCATGATTAGGCCCACTTTTTCTTCCCTTGTCGCATATTATGAACCGAAGTGTTGGGTACAAAAACATGTGATGGCTTATATAACACTGGTGGCTCAACCAGAACCAGTCGTTTTGGAAACTGAGCTTATTCATGGTTCCTTTTTCACGAAGGATCTCGATTGTCCAAAAATATGCCACGCTCAATTTTTTATATTAGTAAATTGTCATTTTTGCCTTTGAATTTTAATGACGAAATAGATCATACTTCTAACCAAACGTGAGTCAAAATAAATTAAAATTGCTGCCCTGCTACAGAGCTCTGTCTATTATGGTCAAGTATGTTTATCACAATTGTTTTATTCCTGTACAACGGCTGTATGGGTTGGTTCCTGTTTACATCATTCGTCGTCTTTTCAGAAAGTTCTTTAAAGCCGAAAAATGTGTCCCCCTGTGAATACTACAGTTGATGAAATACATTCAAGTGTTCTGAGACGGCAACCAGAAGAAACAATTTTAAAATTCAAGTGTGCTTAATTGTTTGTCAGAGAGTGACCTTAAAAATTGAGCTGAAGTCAAAACTGGATCGAGAAATTTGGGATTCAGGTTTCGATCATTGTAAAATACAAGAACACATACATAACGATTTAAAAGTCAAGAGTTCCCCCACTGCGTTTGTTGATCAGAGAATTGTCTATTTTAATTAACCCTTTTGTTCAAAAATGTGTTTTCGTGGAGCACTGAATATATTGCTCGTGCGGATAATCATGTGAAACAGTAGGGTGACAGTCAGTTCCAATCGCTTTCTGTCACCGCTACTACCGGTTCAGACATAACTAACGAAAATGTATCCCGCACGAACGTAGAGGATTTTGACTCCCTAGAATATGCCGACAAAATAAAGGGACGGGAAAAAAATTCAATGCTTGTCATTGGAAGAAAAAAAAAGAATTTTGACTGAAATAGCTTCTCATTAGCGTTTATTTTTCTTTAGATTATCGTTTGAAACCTTGTTGATTTCAATAAAGAAAATTTGGTCGGAGAATTGTTGAAAATAATTAAAAAAGACCCTGACTAGGAATTAGCGCTCAAGTAATAATAGCCCACAGTTTGAATTAAAATAAAACAATCTGCTAACAAACGAGTTGAAAAGAAATATAAAAAATAAAACAATATTTCGAATCAATAAAACACTCCATTTGTTTCTCAGTTACTCACGGGTGAGCCTCATGATGAAAACTCGTTCCACCCATATTTTCAGTTTGTCCGCGCGAGCAAGAACCTAGTGAGAAAACTGTAATAACTTATGGCATTTAGATTCAGAACGATTTACTGTTATGATTTTCGTCGAAATCGTGTTTTGACCTGTTTCGGTGCAGTCTTAAGCCAGCCCATGGTCAAAATTAAAATAACACATTTTGCTTACCAACAGATTGGTGATAATATTATTGTCCGTCGGTAAAAAATAACGTTGATTGTAATAATGATGACAAAAAATACCTCAGTTGTGTCCCAGAAGCGCATTACTATTTTGAACAATTCGTGATGCAACTCTTGGCATCCTTCTGTCGTTGTAACTTAGAGTAATTCATTAAATTCGAGATAGAGTGCTTTTCTTTATTAAGATTTTAGTCTCGCGAGAGACTAGGATATTTTCTGGCGAGCAAGCATCTCTTGGGAAATTGTTGAGATAGAGGATCATATTTTCTGAGTTAGGTCTAAATCATGAATTGTTCTGTTTCAGCATAGTTTTTAACAAGCCCATGGTCTGCATTAAGAGAAAGCAATTTGTAATCATAACAAAATGGAGAATTTATAATCGTCCATCGGCAAATTAGAACCGCAATGAATAACTCCATTTGTTTCCAAGTGACGCACTATTCAGCCTTTCCTTTAATTATGAAATTCGCGCCGCCTGATTTCATGTTTGTCCTCAGAAGCAAACGTTTGTCAAGAATAGTGCAGTACTTTTTGGCGTTTAGGTGTAGTTGAATTTATTCGTTTATTTTATTGTTATTTTTTTAATTTTTTTTTTCAATGATTAAAGTCGAGAACGAACCTTGATGTGTTTAAGAACAGTTTTCGACAAGCCCACGTTCTGAATTAAAAATAAACATTTAGCTGACAAACAGGTTGGGAAATAAATGATTGTCCGTCTGTGAAATAGAAATGTGATTGTAATCAATCGAATACCCCACTCTAAAACCCTATTTGCTTCTAACATACACGTATTTCGTACAAGTTTTGGCACCCCAATTCTCAGCTTTTCGCAAGTGTGCTTATAGTAAATATTGTAAAGTATTTAGATTTACTGTTAGGTCGAAAATGAAATATTTTACTGTGATTTCAGCAAAAACTTGATCTCGATGATCATTGCCTGGTGAGTTATGAGAGCACTGAGCTATAAGTAGCTGACGTAAAGCGAAGATTTTGATCAGTGATTCAATCCCTTCGAATGAAAAAGGTTTACTTGAGCCGTTAATTAGATGAAATAAATAATTGGCAATTCCAAAAATCATTGAAAAAAACAGTTATTTGGAGCAATTTTCATATCCTTTTGATGTCGTACTAAACTAAGCTGTCTCCTTTGCGGATGTATCAAAATCACCCATAAAGCAAAAAAAAAAAAAAACCCATCGCGAGCTAAGTTTTAACCTACTGGCGGATAGATCTCTATATTTAGACTGCTTCCCGTTATGTTTAGCCTTCCGTGACTGCCTCTCATGTTCCTGTTCCTTCAGAATTGCTATTTCAAGCAAAGGTATTCAGTCAAAAGACACTTAAAGGTTGCTGAAGCAAAGCTGTGGAGTTGCTTGCCACGTCAAATAAGAAAGAAAAGAGGAAAGCGGACGAAAAATGCCGGTCTTGTATCCAAAACAGTAGATTAGATTCTTTTTGAAATCTAACTGTGACTGTGGGAACGGCACGGTGTGCTTTAGGGCGTTAATTTAAACTGAGAAGTTTTTGACAACTGTGTCGTTGATCAAAACTTTTTTTTATCTCCCTCGTCGAGGGAAGGAAGAAAAAAGTCCAAGTCGAAAGACGTCATGTGGTGGGTCATCTCCCGAACGGACATGACAGAGATCCTTTCATCTGTGCCATGTTTACCACGGATGAAAAACTATCACAGTGTTTGACGGGCTTGAATCAATGCAATTGAACAAAATAAAACAACCTAGAGAGAACAGCTGACCGATTAACACCCTTTTCAATTTCCTCTCACTACCCTTAAGTGGGTTTATCTAGATCATTCACGCAAGCAAATACAGCTAATAAAGAATCATTGATCTCATAAATAATACCATACGCTCAGCGTTTTTATCTCGGATTTTGCCAAACAATAGAGGCGTCACTTAAATTAAAGCGGCAAAATTATTGATGCCTTTCAAGAAATAAATAATGGCTATTCTAGGCAATATTGGAAGTGATTCTTCTTCGGCTAGCCCCTAAGAAATGAAAATAAAAAATACTATGTGCTATTCAGCAAAACAGGAAACCTCTGAGACAGGAAACTCTTTGTTGAAAGCGCGCGCGCTGTAGCCTTCAGCAGGTCCGCACCAGAGTGAGGCAGAGTGCGCACAAATGAGATAAGAAAATAAATAGGCTCTGTAATCAATTACTTGAAGATGTTAAAATGGTAGGGCAGATGGTTTGGTTAGTCATTTAATGAGAGACCTTCGTCGTGGATTGTAAAGTGTAGAATGTGGTGGACTTTAGTACTCCTTCTGATAAACTCCGCGAATTTTTCGTGGTGTAGTGGCGGTAGCAATGGCAAGGTAAGTTCTCATAGATCGCAAACTAGTCTCCGTAGTTCTATCTCTTCGACGAGGATTCATAACTCAGTCGTAGTTTTTTCTCTTTTCGATAATTGTTATTCATAAATTTGTTTTGTAACATTTTAATTCTTTTCTTTGTACAGAGACTCGCCGAGCATCCTTTACCGAGATCTCTTCCTGAATCAAAGCTAAACGACTTGGCCCAGAGAACAGATTACGATGCCTTCTACAGCGATACTTTCATGAAAGGACTTTACCACGTCCGATACCCAGGAACACAGGGGCATCATAAAGTAAAAATGGTAAGAGAAAGACGGTAAAGCTCACCTCCGTAACGTATTCGAGTAAACAATCAGGCTACTTGTCTCAATTGCCGTTCGCGGAGTAATCTTTGTTTAAACCATATGCATCTTTTCTCCTCTCGAACCATTGCGCTTTTATTTGCGCTCTTCAATTTTCACGAATCGTATTTCGAGTGAGTTTATTTCCCTGTGGGATCGTATTGAAGTCCTTTCTACAAACAATCGTAGTTCTTTACACTAACGTTACTGCTCTACCTGTTAAGTCAACAAAGCGATCAAACAAATCGAAGCGCGTTACGAATTTTTTATGCATCGGATTTGACATTGAAATACTTCCAATATTCGAACGTAATACAATATTCTTTGTATTGACACGGCTGTCGGTTGTTTTCCTTTCTAAAATTGTTTTCGGAAGCATTGCAAAACGGCTATCTTCAATTCAGTTCAGCTGTGCATGTTAACCAGTGTTTATCACATCGCCTGATCGAAACTAAATATCAATTTTCAACCGCTATCTCTCTCTTCTTGTGGTTTTCTACCTCGGGTCAGTTTGACTTAATATCGAAATAGCGGTTAAGGAGATTTTCACCCCAAAAGTATTTCGGTCATTCGATTATAATCCCATGAAAAGTAACACGCGGGGTGTAAGTCCAAATAATTGTAATTTTGAAAAGAATGGAATTCCCCGAAGCAATTCTTCTCCATAATTGCTTACAGCGCTAATCGCGTTAACAGACAATGAAAACAAGCTCAGCAAAATTGGCTGGCTTTTAAAATTTGTCTCACGCTGGAAAAAGTAGTGCAATAATTATCCTGTATTTCTTTGATCTAAAATTTTTAATTCAACCAAGTCTGTATGTTTGTGATAGAAGGTGAAATTTATCTTTGGGGCCGTTTAGAGAAAAGATCATTAGAATTTTGAAACAGAAAAAAATTATGGGAAAAAAAAGGTAGAAAGAGTTGATATAAGTTTGATTCCCAAAGTCTAAAGAAGAGAATCATTTTATGAATTTTCTTTGATAGTACTTTAAACTATAACTACTGTGAAGATAGATTTCCACTTTGAAATAAATATCATTTCTAGAATTATATAGTGCAGTTCATGAGTAGAATAACACTATCAGAAACTCAAATAGGGAAAGTTATAATTTTGTTTCCTTGTCTTCTTGGAAACTGGCATGCCATGCAAATTTTTTAGTTAAAATCTAGAAATAAATTAAATGAAAAGATTGAAGCTCAGTATACATTTCTGTATTATTTTTTGTAATTTTTGATATCCTATTGTGACCTTTTCTATTCAAAACTCTCTAGAAATTTAAAAAATAGACAATAGGGAATTGTGTATTATCTCAACTTTAAATTCAAAATCATTCCATGTTTACATTTATCAAATTATCTCTAGAAGGATTTTGTTCTAACAAACTGTGTACATAAGGTTAGAGCATCAATAAATCAATGAAAGTGCTTGATATATATTTGTTTTCCAAGTCTTGGATATTAATTTTGTCAAATTGAGTAAATTGGCAAATGTAGGTTTTTGCTTATTCTATTTTATCATGTCAGGATGTTATTAGTTTTATCAGGGGTAATTTGTCATATTTATGGAAATGAAATTCAATTTTTTGATTTAATTTACCATACGGTTAGCCACAAATGAAAATGATTTGCATCAAGTGTTACTTTTTCTTTCCTCAGAAGAGTGCTGTACATCCTCTCCTACTTTGCTAAACAGTGTAATACTTTTTTAGTTAGTTTTTTAAGCATTATGTAATATTTAACAACAAGTACTCTTGACAGTTATCGAGTCTGTAGTTTCTCCAGTTTTAGGTCGATATACAGGGCACTCAACTCATTTTTCTGGAAGTTTCCATTTGGCAAACTAAGGTCATAAAATATTTGCCAGAGATAGAATTTCAGTAATGAGAAGAAAAAATCAAAAATAAAAGCATTTTTGAGTTATAAACTTATGATAATCTGTTCAAATTTCTGTTCATTTCAACTAAAGACCATACACTGTCAGTATGAAAATCTAATTTCTTTGCTTAAAAAAGATATTAAATAAACTTCAAGGGGAAGCTAAACTGTTCCAATTAGAGTTAACAATATAAGTTAAAACTGGAATCTTCTAGGACAGGATTATTTACAATATCAACAACAATGACAATGAAATACCCTATGTAAGATGTACCCAGTATGAAGTTTTTTTCATAAAAGGTAATTTATCTTGAACTTCTTTTTCCCTTCTAATTTGTTTGCAAATCTTCATTGCAGTTTATAAAGAAAGCATTTGAAGACCTCAACTGGACAGTCACATTGGACGAATTTGATGCTCCTACTCCTTACGGTACTAAGCGCTTCACCAATGTGGTTGCCACCCTTAACCCCAATGCAAAAAGAAGGCTAATGCTAGCTGCACATTATGACTCCAAATACATGCGTGACAGATACTTTCTTGGTGCCACAGATTCAGCAATGCCTTGTGCAATGTTAATTGAAATTGCCAGAATTGTCACCCCTTTCTTCAAGGCACGGGAACAGCAAAAAGGGAACGTTCATGCAGATGAGGATGAGGTATGGAACAGTGTCCAATTATCCTTTTACACCCTAACATGAATATTCAAATTCTCCACACTTTTGTCTTTACATTTCCTTTAGTACTGACTAAGGAGAAATTGTTTAACAATCAGGAACTTCTTGAATTGATAATCAATTCCTTTATTCTCATGATCTTTATATTCAAATCAAGAGTGATGATGTAAAGAGAAATTAGAAGCCAGTCACACTTGAGGAATAAAGGATTGTAGAGAATTATGGCTATTGTAATTCCAGTTGATTGTTGCCCAGCAAGCTAATGTTAGCATGATGGGTGGCAAGTGAAGGTTCAACCCTTCAACTCCCAGATCAAATTTGTCATTCTCCTTACTGCCAACCAGACAATTCATATAAATGTTAGTTCAGAAAACTTAGTATTGGATCAATTAATTAACCCCAAATTTATATTTTTTCATTATTCTCATCACTCATCTGGTTGATATTGTATTGATATTTCAAGGAGAAATTCTGCCTTGGTCACTCATGGGAGTTAAAGGTTTAAGGTCCAAGGAGGGTAAAAGATAAATGTGAGGGGGTAAAAAAGTGTGATGGAAGAGAGGGGTAAGAGTGAAAGAGTACAAAGAGGGGTGAGGAAAAGGGATGACACCTTTTAATTTTTTTTTTCTTTATAGCAATCAGACACAACATTGCAAATGGTTTTCTTTGATGGTGAAGAAGCATGGGTTGAGTGGAGTTCAACAGACTCACTTTATGGCTCTCGACATCTTGCAGAGATGTGGAGCAATACGTCTCACCCACCAGATTCAAATACTACAATGATAGACACAATTGTAAGTAATTCTTACCTTAAAATATTTTTTTAGAGGACTGAGATCCTTTGATACCCATGAGTGATTGCTATGTAGATTGCCCTGATTTTTTCAATGCTATTTCAAGTTGACTTTAGTGAGCTCAATTTTTTTGTCAGTTGCCATTTGATGACTGAAATCATGAGAACTTTTACCAGAAATATAAAAAAAAAATATGATGACTCCACTAAGTTATACCAAAAATGAAATCTTACTTGGTAGTCACTTTCAATCAATTGTGGACATGCCTAAATTAATTCAAGGCAGAAAACCAATGGGATAGAGGTTTATTTTAAAAGAGAAGAGGACATAACATCAATAATATAATATAATATAATATAATATAAAGTATAATAATATATTATGAATGTTTATCTTAGTTGTACACAAGACCATAGACACAGAGTAATTGAAAAACATTAGCTTGGTACATGCCCCTTCCCCTAGGTAGGCTAGGATTGTTTTCAAGTTTCTGCCCAGCTGTTTTTACAGCTGCATTGAGTGGAATGTTGGTAAACAACAATTCTACATCAAAGGACACCATGATCTCTCTTTCTTGAATCATTCTGTCACTGACGGGAGATACAGAGTGGGCTGATTTGGGCAGCATAAAATTTGAGCAACTTGTTAACAGGGATAAGATGTTAGCGAAATAAGCAGACAAATCATATGCAAAGGTGTTTGTGCATGACACAATTGGTCTCAGAGGAATATCAGCTTTGTGAGTCTTCAGTAAAACTGTAGATTCTATCTAGGTGGCTGTTTTTGTTGTGGTCTGATTTTGTTGAAGATGGCCTCTGATAGATTTTTGATTTGTTTTGAGGTTAGCAGTTTCTTAGAAAACTTCCTCCTTAGACTAATCATCAGATCTTTGTTTAAGAGCTGATATTGTCCTTTTTTGATGAGGACCATATCAGAGAATACCTTGGTCTGATAGGTGTCAGCGTGTAAGACTACACCAGCACATCCTTAAAGTAATGGAGAACCTTAATGGCTGGTCCCCTTTCTAGTGTTTTATGCATCTCACATTTATTTTGTAACGTTAGCCTCTAAATTAAGTGGTGATCATTTCCTTTATTCTCATGACCTTAAAGTTTGATTCAGGAATGATATCACAAGAAGAAATTAGATGCGAGTTGCTCTAAAGGGTAAAAGGGTTGATTAGGAAAATAAATATATGGAATTTTAAGGGTCAAACCAGTTTTCTGGCAGCTTTGATCTGAATTCAATATTAAATCACTTTTGTAGTAGAATACATTTACAATATTAAATCTCACTTTAAAAACTCTGTGTCAACTGTCTTGAAGTCTGCCATCTTTTTGATTCTCTAGAAGAGTGCAAGAATTGTTTTTAGGATTTTAAAGGCAATTTGATGGATGTATAATATTCATCAATGTTTTTTATTTAAAACATTAATGAATTAAAGACTCTAGAGCATTGCACATGCTTCAGTTCTCAGAAGGGTTCCTTCTGTTTATGTTGATTTGAAGTAACAATTCTTAATTTGTGATTTGTTTTTTTCCAAAACAGAATGCCATGATACTATTGGATCTGATTGGTGCAGCTAACCCAGTGTTTTATAACACTTTCAGAGAAACAAATGATTTATTTGAGAGATTACAGATGATTGGTAAGTGTCTTTCACTCTGAACATGTTAATTACAAACAGGAGATTTACTTTGTGAAGCATTTGTGAAATGTAATCAAGCTCCATATTTAGGAGAGCAGGGATGATGGAGTGTTAAAACCATTCAATATTCTCTCTATCCCAGGAGCTGGTGTCACATGTGGTGTAGTTACATTTGTCTTTACCCACCTAATGGTTACCAAGCCTTAGAACAGGAGTGAGGCTAAGGTTGACCTCGTTATGATACAAACCTTGCTGCTTTTCAGATGCAAATTACTTTGTTATTATGCTAACTAGATACTGGTCTCTATCACAACAAGGTCACCTTCAACCTCACTCCAAATCAAAGGCTTGGCAACTAAGTACACAGCTGTAAAATGGCCTATTGTTTCATGGAATATTCAAAATCAAATGAATTGATACAAATTTTAAGGCCTTCAAAAACAGTATGAAGAAAATTGACTTAAAAAAGTACTTTATTTTAAATTTTGGTTTATGTGGAATACCTGTGAATTAGGTGGTGTGTCATTCTATTGTGTGATGTCACACATGAATAGCTAAGCATATGACACAAAAAACTTGTATTGTATCGTATACAAAACATAGGGAAACAAAGAAGAGCGTGGCAGTAAAAGACAATTTTGACTGAAAAATCACTGCTACTGCACTAGATGTAACAGACACAGAGAAAAAGAAAATAACAAACCGTAAAAAATGCAAAATAATACCTAACATGTGAAACAGAAGAAGCCCACTTAGTAGAAAAAGCTATAAGCTGAACAAAAAAACTGAACTAAGCAAAAAACTAAAGGCACAGAGAAAGACACTTACATGATCCTACATGTGGGTTGAGTATGATGTTGATTATTGCTCCAGGACTCTATATAAACCAACACTCAAAATTCTAATTTTACCTGGAGATAGATGGTGAAAAAGATCTTTTGGATGTACCATGGCTAATTCTATTTGTGATAGTTATTATTGTCATTTTTATCATGATTGTTGTCAATATTATTTTGCATATCATTCTACACACATCAGGGTCAGAGAATTAAAGCATTCCATCCAAGACAAAAGTAACATGAGATTATTAAACCTCTGATGTTACTCTAAAGTGTACAATTTATAATAAAATCATTTTGTACTTTTGTCACTTTTAACCAGAACGTCGCCTACTGAGCAACCAGCAGATACATATACCACCTAACACCCAACAGCCATATTTCATTCAAGGGCTAATGGACAGAAGATATCTTGTAGAAGACGATCACATACCTTTCCTACGAAGAAGTAAGTAGTACAAGCTGTTAGAGATTTCCTAGATTGTGAACCCTGAGGAAATGTTTAATATGTAGCCTATAGAGTATTCTCCAAGCTTCTTTCCCAAGAGCCATCTCATTGTCTCTAACTAAGTTTATATAGGTTGTATGAGCCAACTGCTCACAGAAGAGTACAAATAATGTGCCAGTCAAATACAAACATCCTGCATGGGAATATACCACACAGATGAATAGTGCTTTTTGCATACACTAGTTGCTAGTTCAGAAGTGAACAGCAAGTACTGTATTCACCTTTAAGTTTAACTGTCAGACCATATCTTGGTATATTGAAAGATAAACTAATCTTTTTGTATCTGTATGGTATATACTTAAATGATTATATACTTCAGCGTTGTTGAAAGTGGTGGATATTTAGGTTGCAGCTTTGCAGCTCGGTAAATATCCACCACTGTTCACCTCCACTTCAGTGAGTAATTGTTAAATATTGTACAGTTATTTGAGCAGTAAGTTATTTTGTACTGTAATCCAATGCAAAAGTCATGCAAGACCTGTCACAAACTGCCTCTCTATTTGCTAAGCTTTTCCCACCTTAACCCTTTAACTCCCAAGATCTCATTAGTAATTCTCCTTACCGACTCTCATACAGTTCTTGTGATGTTAGTTTTGAGAATTTGGTATTGGATCAACTTATAATCCCTTAACTAATATTTTTCTTTATTCTCATCACTTGTCTGCTTGATATTGTATTGATATTGTAAGGAGAAATTCTGTCTTGGTCACTCATGGGAGTTAAAGGGTGAAAAGAAACTTGCAGATGAAATGAAGCAGTTGGCTAATCAAGAACTTATTAGTTGTTTTGGTTTTCAGTTTTACTGAGTATTACAAGTATAAGGAGATATTAAATGCTAGTCACTCTGAGGGGTGAAATGGACTAAAAGAGTCTAGTGGTGATTCTAACCCTTTAACCTGTAAGAGTGATTAGCACCTAATTTCTCCTTACAATATCATCCCTGAATCACACATTTAGGTCAGGAGAATGAAGGAAATGATCATCAAAAAAAAAGAAGCTCTTGACTGTTAAACAAATTCTCTTTGTCAGCACCTTAGGAAATGTAGAGAGCATAGTATAGAGAGTTTGCATACTGATGTTAGGGTGTAAAGGGTTAATTGATTATTATTGCAATGTTTGCAAAATATTTATTTTAATTTGACTTTATCCTTTTTTAGATGTTAAAATTCTGCACTTGATATCACTGCCATTCCCACCATGTTGGCATAAGGACTGTGATGCTCATGAAAGTATTGATGATGAAGTTGTGAAGGACTTACTTAAAATCTTCCAAGTATTTGTGGTGGAATATTTTGGTCTTTCAGTGGTATAATGTAAGGAAAGTATTGCTTGTGCAGCAACCATTGTGATTTAAATTTCAGGAGCACTTCACGGTACCATTCATCCCACAAAATATTTTTGTGTTCTATCACCCTACCAAACCATTTTTTCACGAAAAGTGAAGAAAAATAAAATCCAAAGTCACTGATTGACCAGCAAAATTTGAATAGTTGAAAATATTTTTAGTCACTATATTTTTAAAAAGATGTGTTGAAGATTTTGTTTTGATTACAAATTATTTGTACCCAAATTTCTTACATGGTTATGATGATGGAAAAAGGAAGTTTTTTTTAATGCCCGAAAAAAAAAAAAAAAGTAAGCAGAGTCTGTGCTCAGTAAGGTTCTTCTTGAACATAGGCTCCAGTAGTAAGTACTTTTCCTTTCTTTTCTATTGTTTCTTATCTTTTCTTTTTTCTTTCTTTCTTTCTTTCTTTCTTTTTCTTTCTTTCTTTTTTTTTTTTTTTTTTTTTTTTTTTTTGACCCAAGTGACCAACCCTCATTAATGAAATAAAAGGTGATGGAAAACAAAACATTTTATGGGTATGGCATTACAAGCAATCAAAGTATTATTTCCATTGTGTGAAAGCTCTGGACACATGGTGATATACAAGACTCAATCTTGTTAAACAAATTTCTTCATGTCACATACAGTATTGTATTTATCTGATAGATTTTTAGTTTTATTGTAGGGCAAGAGATTCTATATGACCAAAGAGAAATTTTCAACCACTTTTTTTGAGAGCTAAAAAAATTGACTGAAATATTAATTTATTGATTTAACTATAGCAATATCAGTGAGCTAATTATGATAATAATTTACTGAGAAATATTGATCTTTGATAGGGCCCAACAATAATGAAAATAGGAATCAGTGGGGGGCTTTGAAACTTAACAAGTGTAATTTTTGAATCTTTCATTTCCAAGACCTGAGCATTTTTTCTTTCAAAATGATCTCACAACCTTTATCCTAGTCAAAGTCTCAAGATTACAAGAAGTGGGGAAGTCAGTTCTTGTTGGCCAATCTACATCATCAACACAGTCAATAAAACCAAATTATTTTTTTATACCCCCAGTTAGAGCAACACCACAGTTTCTTTAGAAACTAACTCCATTTATTTATCTGTTTTAGAGAATGTTAACATAAAAGATTTCTTGATAGTGGAAATGAATCCAACTGAAAGATTGCCATAAAAATGTCATGTATACTCCCTTCCTTGACAAAAATGAGAAAAGTCTTCAAGCAAAATATTGAATTTTTAAAAATTTTAATACTAAAATAAAACTATTGATGATTTAGAAAAGGAAATGAATCAATTTACCACAACTTGTGACAGAAGTGGTTTTGACTTGATATATCGTCTTCTGTGACAAATGTTAAACATCTTTACTTTTTTTCCAATTCATTTTTATCAGTTTGCAGAAATTATAAGGTGATTTACATGTAAGAATAGAAACAGTTAGAGAAATTTATCTTTAACATTATAACTATTGATTAGAATATTGTGAATTCTTTTAATTGCAAAATTTTTAAAGTACAGAAAATGTTAATTGTATATGGGATGAAAATTTCATTTTCTGTGTGAAAGCACTTTTCCCTAAATTTAGTGATGGTAATATCAAAATTACTTCAAGTGCATTGAGGGAAAATCCTCAAATTAAGAATATTGAATTCATTTTACAATTAGGTGGTAAACTGTTGTCCACTTTCAAAATTTACAGTTTATTTCATAAGCAATCACAATAAAAGGCTTTTTTCAGAACCTTGCCTTTTGAGGTGTCTACAGTAAATGTAGTATGTTTGTAGTATATTGAAGACCAGTTCTATAGACCCCAAAAATTTTTGCACAAAGCAAGAGAACATACAACAAAAATCTTGGGAATAAACCCTTTTACACCAAATTGTTTATGCTGTAGAGCCTGCCGTGTCAACCCTTTACACCCTAACATTGGTATTCATGTTCTCTGTACTCTCATTTATACACCTCCTTTGGTACTGACAAGGAGAATTTGCTAAACAATCAAAGTTTTTTAGGTTGGTGATCATTTCCTTTATTCTTACATGATCTTTATGAATGATTCAGCAGTTACTGTGAAACTGTGGAAGTAAAGGAAATTACTTGCTGGTCATTCTTGGGGTTTAAGGTGTTCAGGTCTATTTCTTTATGCTGAATTACGAATGATTGAAATTAGGCTTTTTAAGGATTGGAACTTATGCCAACCTCTCTTTTGCCTTTAAAGACCCTAAGGTTTGTGGTACATTTTATAGCTGTACCATAAATTCCCGTTCCAGGGAAGCCAGGCACTCTCAGGGTTTAATCCTTTCACTCCCTAGATCACCTTAGTAATTCTCCTTACCATCTGCTATACAATTCTTATGATGTTAGTTTCGAGAATTTGGTGTTGGATCAACAAACAATCCCCTAATTCAAATATTTGTTTATTCTCATCACTTGTTTTCTTGTATTGTACTGGTATTCAATGACTGTGAATATATGAAAATCAAATAATTAACTCTTTCACTCCCAAGATCTGATTAGTAATTCTCCTTACTATCTGCCATACTATTCTTATGATGTTAGTTCAGAGAATTTGGTATTGGATCATCTAATCATCCCATGATCGACATTCTTCTCTATTCTCATCACTTGCCTGCTTGATATTGTACTGATATTGTAAGGAGAAATTCTGTCTTGGTCACTTGTGGGGATGAAAGGGTTAAGTGAAATGCAGTTTGAGAAATGGACTATGAGGGTGATGTTCATGGTGATGAGCATTACTTAAGTAATTGTACAGGCCTGAATTTTTTTCAGGCCATATTTTCACAACTGCTTAAGTAGTCTTTACTACAGCGAGGATCATTTTCATATTCATGTAATGACATTGAAAGGTGAAATTCTGTCTTGGTTACTCATGGAACTTGAAGGATTAACAAATTTGAGTAAACAAGTGCAATTTGTGAACTGAGCTTTGCCTGTCAAGGAAAGTAACTTTATCATCTTTTCCAAAAAATTCATAACGACGACTCCTTCCGTTTCAAAAACTGGACTTTTATTGGACGATCCGGGATAATAACAAGTCCATGAGTTGTCTTCTCCACTGTTTCACCAGTAGCATCAAGGAGTTGATAATTTTGTATGAGTCGTGTCAGCAATAAGTATTGCTCCAGTTCTGTTACCCTCCGGCCTATGCACATTCGTGTTCCAAATCCAAATGGAAGAGAAGCAAAGGCGTTGATGTTTCTTCCACTCTCAGATGGATTCTTACTTTCTCTCAGCCACCTTTCTGGTGTAAAAGACAACGGATCTTCAAAATACTGCTCACTCAGAGACATTGCATGATTTAGAATCATTACGTGGGTTCCAGAAGGAATTTTGTAACCGCTCAAGAGCAAATCCTGTTCAGTAACTCTGGCTAAGAAAAAGATTGAATATAATCTGAGGACTTCCTTAATACATGCTTTTAGGTAGGGTAACTTAGACAGCGTTGCATTGGTGACGAGTTCTCCGGGCTTCAGGACTGAGGAAATTTCCTGATACAAATTTAGTTGTTTGTCTGGATTTTTTGCCAACTCGTATAAACACCAGAGGACTGAAGTTGCTGTTGTGTCGACTCCAGCAAAGTATACATCAACGTAAGTAGCTAAAAGGTCTTCATGAGTCAAATCGGAAGCCAAGACCAGATATTTTAGGAACTCGATGTTCTGAATTTGGCCTTGAGGTGGTTGTGAAAGCTCACCTTGGTTTGCAAACTTCATCAGCTTCCTTTTAATAGCCTTATCGGTAAATTCATAAAATTTATCATAACTTTCTGCAAACTGTTTGTACATTTTGGTTTGAAATATTTTGTGCAGCCACAGTGGTTGCACATCAATGTGAGCTGTGCTTTGCAGAAAGTTGTTTACAGCGGAAATGAACTCTTTCACTTCCGGGTGAATTTGGTCCTCCAGAGCACCAAACCTCTCGTCAAACAGCATCAACGATACTGACTCAAAAGACCACTTAAAAAGTTCCTCCTCTAGCGATGGAATTTCATTTTCCAAGCCGTGACTACCGCGAAGTCTTTCCAGCCGAGCAACAAATTCTGTGACAATCTTATTAAAAGCAGGTTCGTAATCAGCCACACTCCTCGGCTGGAGCATTCGTTCGTTGATACATTTTCGATGCTTGTACCAGCTCAAACCATTGTCGAAGATTATTCCAGCGGGTTTGTTAGTTTTTTTCCTGTAGTATTCCATCACTGGACTATCAGGTCGGATCGGAATTCGGCCCTCAGATCTTAAAACGGTGGAAACATCGACTGGGTTTGAAATCTTCACAAAGTCAACGGCCCGAAGGCCCATAAATTTTGTCCTGAATATTGGACCGAACTGTTCCACATTCCTAAGTTGAGCTTTTAACACGATTTTCCCAGCATCTGCCTCATTTATCTTCTGTTGGAAAGAAAGGATTTTAAGACCATTCAAGAAAAATTTCTTCGCCAGAGCGATGCCCTGTAGATCTGAATGAGGACCGGGCAGATCCTCTATGGAGCGTTCGTCTGTTTTTTGTACATTTTCGCCAGTAACTCCCGCAAATAACTTCACACTGAATTTTGAACATCCTTTGGTACGAAAATGTAGAGAAATGTCCTGAGAAACGCCACATCTGCACCGAATTGAGAACATCATTATCCAAAATTGTTTCACCCCATCCCGTCATTCTTAGAGCGACAAGGCCACCATGGTAGATTGCGTGAGTTAAGTACCTTGGTAAATGCGTCATGAAAACAGCATAAAGTGTCTACAAATTACAACACATGCTCATTTCGTGATTCGCAGGACTACAAAGAAATGTCACTGAAGGGAGAGACGAAACCAGGAACAGGAGCCGTCAAAGTGACGGCTAAAAAACACAGATGGTATCTTGGAGGTATTGCTTCGGCCATGGCCGCCTCTTGCACCCATCCGTTGGATCTTCTAAAGGTATTGAAAATCTACACTGTACTTGAATGAAATCTTGTAACAAGTTGCGTCACAATTTCCCGAAGAATTTCTCCGAGTATCAGCCAGAGTATCTCCTTAAAACTTGGGAAGAGTTTTTGCATTAAAATGGTACAGATAAAGCGATGGGCTTTTATATGTCAAATTAATAAGTTGAGGTTTTCCTAGTTCATTATCTATGCAGATTAGCGAAGATTACATCAGCTGGCCGGCTACTCTATAAATTTTTGGCGACTTCTACGAAAATTAGTGTGGCTGTTAGGGAAAATTCTCTTGAGCTATTGGATAAGAAAGATAACAGATAACAGATGTCAGATAATATTTTGAAGCACCGTGATTACAGACTGTGTAAACATCGGATCGGAGGCGTTTTACCCTCACACAGCTTCTCACAACATGCCTCTACACACCCCTGAAAGTATGCACCTCCCTTCCTCCCTTATTTTTTAATTGAGTTGCATCAGAAAACAGTGTTGACTTTTGAGAGTGTATCACTTATGAAGCACAAGAGTAAGAATAATTAGCTCAGGAGAAAAATTGCAAACACATTAAAACATCTGGCAAAATGGTCATATTCAGTTTGGACACACAAGCCAAGAAAAATTGGTCTGACATCAAGTTGGGGCCAAAGAATACCCTCATTTGCTTGAATTGTGGAAAAGAGGCTTGGTAAACAAAGGGTCAATGATAAACCCACATGTATATATACAACCGGTGATAATTTGAAAACTCAGTTAGCAAGAGTTATCACAATATACTTGTGATTACTTGTGTCTACAAGATGTATTTTGGTTGTGTTTTGTGATTCCTTTTGAACTGTCAGAAATTTTTCAGTTGGTGTATCTATCACTGGATAAGACATGTAGATTTTTCCCATCTGTGCATTTTCACAATTAATGTATAAGATTAATTTTGTTTTTTACTTACCTTTAAAATAAAAAATACTCACAGGCATCCCAGGGTTGCAGCACCTGAGGCTGCCCCCTAGCACCACCTGGATCAAGCTACATTATGAGACAAAGACATCATGCTAAATAATGTCTTTTAAATTGACTACAGAGAGCAGTAAGGATATCAGCCCTGCTGTCATATGCAAGATTTAAAGAATTTGACCAAATTTTATGTGATCCAGTCAGTTACCAAATAAGCAGTGGAACCCTGCTAACTTGAACACAGTGAACTCAAATCCCTGGAAACTTGAACAGGATCCAATATCCCTAGATCCATTTTTTTATGTTATTTACCATCAGCTAACTCAAACCCCCACTAACTTGAACAATTTTTTTCTTTCCTTGGGAGTTTGAGTTAGCAGGGTTGTACTGTAAGTAACCTTGACATTTATGGCTCATGTTTTTTCTTTGATTTTTCAAACTATCAAATTAGAAACACTATGCCAAATGTGAATCAATCACAAGGAGTTTATTGTTTTTTTACTTTGTATTTCAAATGCAGGTTCATCTTCAGACACAGCAGAAGGTTGAACAGAGATTGGTATCCATGGCAGTTCATGTTGTACGTACTCAGGGAGTATTGGCACTTTACAATGGACTATCAGCTTCTCTTACAAGACAGGTACATGTCAATAGATTGCTTATCCTCTTTATCTTCCTAGCACCTTTAAGACTGGTGGCATGGGTGAATCACTGTTAGAAGGTCATTGGCTGCTTGTCATCTCAGGTACCTACATTTCTAATCTGTGTTCTTCATCTCTCTCTTAACTTTCCCCCTCCATGCTTTTTTGGGTGGGCCTGTCTCCCTCTTCTGCCTTAAGGGTCCATCAAAAGAGACTCTGATCTATCTCCATGTCGCATGCTCTATGTCAAGTGTTTAATATTGAACAGGTTGATTCACAGAGCAATGTTGCTCCCTCTTAGGGGACCAAAATTGATAATTGTGGAGGTGTTAATCTAATACAAGCAGTGCAAAAGAAACCTTGATTGTGATAATCAAATATTTTTGTTCCTTCAACCTCAGCTGACATACTCCACAACACGCTATGGGTTATATGAGGTAGGCTCAGCAAGACTAAGAAAAGGAGATGGTAAGTACTTGAGATAAAGATCATGAAATTTAATGGTTTAGACTTTGCATGCAAGATGACCTGAAGGAAGGGAAGTGAGAACTTAAAATGATAAGTGGGAACTCTGAATAATGACTTGGTACTCACATTGCCCAAAATTATTAATGCATTCAATAATGTCTCCTTGCAATCTTATTGGTGCAACAAGTTATGCTGTGTTGAGAATTGACTTGCAAACATTTTTTATCAAGGATGGGAGTTATCTTTATTAACACACAGTTCAAAAATATAATAATGGCCCATATATGCAATTAAGAAGATAATGATGTTATGTTTAAATTCAGTCACTAACGCAAATGGTCATATTCGTTCATTTTGAAATAATGAATTATTGATTGCAATAATTTTTATTATTCAATATATATTCATTTATATATACATTTTTTTCTTTATCTATTTATTTCTGTTTATATCTAAGGAACTTTCATGAGACTTTCCTTTTCACCCTATTTAGCTCCTCTACCATTTTACCAGAAAATTGCAGTTGGAGCATTGTCAGGTAAAGCAGTTGCCAAAATAAGTTCACAGAAAATTATTCTTAATAATGCAAAGGAATAACCATAGAAAAACCCAGCAGATTTTACAGATAATTTATTTTGTTAAAGCTCAATTGGGTTAAATGCTTATGTTGTGATTATTGTAATGTTTCAGGAAGCAATCACAATTAACTTGTTCCTAATAGATTTAATTTCTGAATTTAGATGATCTAAATGATAAATCACTTTGTCTTTTCTGTAAGGTTTTATTGGAGGAATTATTGGAAATCCTGCAGATATGGTCAATGTGAGGTATTAAAGTTTTGCTTGATCACTGTTGGTGCTGCAAACAAAGACATAATTAATTCAAAATATATCAATTAAATTGCCTTAAATGCATTAATTAATTTGCTAACTGGTAGCTTTGGACATTTGGCATAATTAACTTCTAAATGTTTTATTTTCCTTTCCTTAGAATGCAAAACGATGTTAAGATAATGGATGTTGCAAAGAGGAGAAAGTGAGTGTTGCAGGATAACTGAATCAATAAGGATTGTATGAAAGCTTCTAGAACCACTTTTAAAATTTGAGGTTAAGAATGGTTAGTGCACAAGAAAGTGACAACAGACTCAGCATGTGAGGGAAAATGATTGAGGAGGATATCAAGATTATTTAAGATACTGTCATCAGATCAAGAGGCTCTTGTGTCTTCCAATGCCATTTGGAAGGCCTGGCTGCTTAGACCATGTAGTGATTCAGTGGCAATTCAGTTCTGCAGAATGAAGAATTTTCTCTTTTGTAATAGCTGCAATAGCAGTGACTTGCATGCTCTGTTCTTTGCACTTTGTTTGCACCTCTAATGCAGCATGTGATTGATCATCTTCTTTTCAGTTACAAGAATGTATTTGATGGTCTTTACAGAACAGCATCAGAAGGTAAATTTGTATTACTCAATTTATGCATTGTTTAGCAATTTTACTCTTGGTGAAAATTCACTGGTTCCTGAATGTTCAATTTAGTTTTCTAGAACTTTTGCTTTTTAATATTCGACAGAGGGTATTTCTACCTGGATGAAGGGTGTGCAAATGACCTCATCTAGGGCTGTGTTGATAACAGTGGCTCAGGTATGCGTCATCGTTATTATTTTACATCGTTTATATCCTAGACTACGAGCAGCCCCCTCCTTTTCGGCAAAGTCCGTCGCGAGAGACCGCTTATTTTTTCACTGATTTTTTAAGGCTCGCACGACGGACTTCTGTAAAAAGGAGGGCCTACTCGTGATGTACCTATAACCTTTCTGATCCTTTAAATCCAATAGATCTCTTTAGATAATCGATATTTTTTTCATTTTGATGGGAAAATTTCATTCCCTCTTTTCAGTTTACATTATGCCTCACAACTTTTATCGTTCAAGTGCAAAGAAAGTCGCATAAGTTCAACCTTAGCTTTTTCTGCAACATTACCTCAAAAGAAAAAACCCAAACCAGCAGAAAACGACAAAAGCAAAAGTCGCGAGCATGAAATTAGTTACTGTCTTTAACGCTTAAATCTAGCCAGCACTGGGCAGTTGTATAACATACGCTTCGTGGAGGAGATTGACAAATCTGTCTGTTTTATTCCTCATCAGGTAGCATGTTATGACCAAGTTAAACAGCTATTACTTGGATCTGGGTAGGTTAATCCCTCTGAAAGCCTGTGGCTTGGTGTTTAGATCAATAGCTTGCGAGCGAGCCAACGGCTAAATATGCCTAGTGAAAACGATGAATATTCCAGCGACAATCCCCAACTGACTTTGTATCCGATAAAATGAGAACCTTCCAAGGGTTGAAATGATTTTAATTCAAGAAGGTAAAGTTCTTTTCTGTGTTACCAGGGAAGAAAAAAAATTTCTTAGAGGTGAATACTTAAAACTAGGCGGCATCCACATCAGAAAAAATCTTTTGGTATTGCAATGTGAAAAAGTCAGCATCGTAGTACACATTTTAACGTTTCTGGCTCTAAGCTGTTCCCAAAAGTTTTGTCTCGCGAGGCCAAAAGCTCAAATCTTCTGCAAACCTGGTTTTCGGAAAGCATTTCGTTTCTCAGAAAAGATAAAATCTCCACACCAATATCTAAAAGAATTTCTATTGTTTACATTTCTGATGACTACTATTTTCGTGAATTTATTCCGACAAATAATTTCTTCTGATCATTTCAAGAAACTGATCCATCAACACTCTCTTGATTGTTTGCAGATACTTCAGTGACAATATCATAACGCACTTCACTGGCAGTTTTATAGCGGTAAGATTCTTTTGTCCATCATCGATGCTTTTAACTTCATTGAATTTGAGGGAAAATTAACAGACTTTTTCGCACCGGAATAGACGGGATTGATTTGTGACCGCTTTGATTCACTCGCATACAGGGGACAATTGCAACAGGCATTACGCAACCAGTTGATGTCATGAAGACAAGACTGATGGAAGCTAAACCAGGACAGTACAAGGTACTTATAGAGGATATTTTAATTCTTGCTGTTTAAAGGTTTTCCAAATACGGAACCCGTACTAATTCTTCCGACTCCGAGGTTCGATTTTCATCAGGTCGAGAGCGCTCTTTCGACTTCATCGCCGATGAAAACCAGCCTCTGACGGGTCTTTTGGCTTTTTTGCGACTCTTGTAACTTTAAGATAAATGAAATCTATGGATGTTTGTGTTCACAAACTTCAAATCTTGCAGAGTGTCCTGGACTGCATTCTCTACACCGCGCGGCTCGGACCTATGGGGTTCTACAAGGTATGAATTATTTACCTAGACACCTATTTTTAAACTATAAAGTTTTGTAAATATTTCTGATTAAGTAATATAAGTCATACAGCTGTACTTGTAACAGGTCCAGACAGTTGTCTATCTTGTAATCGTTAATAGAGTCAGTAACTAGTGGATGTGTTGTATAAAAGATAGCTTTATTTCCCAGCCCAATTTTCCATTAAGATCCTCGTGGGTTTTTGACCGCAGTCTATCGTGATATCCTCTTTTTCTACGAGTAATAGTAACTGACAACAATTCGATGGGGAATCATAACCATTATCTCGAGATGGTCTAGTTTTACAAACCGGTTTCTTCTCCTAAGAGTTTAGTCGATGGCAAGGACAGTTTTGATTACTGATTTTAATTGTCAGTTTCTGTTGATCTTAGTATTAAATGTCCTTAACTTTTTTTTTTTTCGTTTTTAGGGCTTTATTCCAGCTTGGATCCGTTTGGAACCCTACACAATTTTAACATGGATCTTTCTTGAACAACTTCGAGTGTTGTTTCCTCTAAAGGAGTCGTAGACTTTTTGTCTGTGTAGTTACAATACTAAATACTACGCTGCGATAATTTTTTATTAAAGGGGGTAAGTTTCTAAAGAAACTGTGGTGCTACATCGATCTGGGGTATTACAAAATAAAGTGAGTTGATTATGTAAACTGGTATCTGCAAACAGTTTATAGCTTTAGAAACTCTTTACGATGGCCAATTTTCATTCTCAACTCGGTTGATAAACTGAAATTATCTTGTAATTATTTGTTAGTATAGTTAATAACACGATTTCAAGTGCAATTTAGTGTTAATAAGTACGAGTAAATTTTTTCAAGACAACAAAAGTGCACAAGCCCGTAGGGCTAGTTCAATTTGTAAACTTTGAAAAATTTACAAGGCCTTATTTACACCAAATTGCACTTTAAATCAAGTTATTACTTTTTTTTAAATTATTTAAATGAAATAAGCGTCGCAGAAAGTCAAGGCAGACGAAATTATTGCAGCTCGCGCGCCATTTGTAACTTGCATTTGTCTTGCAACTTTGACTCGTGTGACATGAAGAATGAACTCGTTTTCAGCCAATCAGATGCGCGCAATTTTTTCAGGTATATTGTTAGACTGATGTAATGCGGAAGGTTACGATGAAATTATAGGATAAACAAATTTTGAAACTGAACCATAAAACAATGTGACAAGTAATATAGAGAATGGTTTCAAAAAATTTTGGCTTCTATTAGAGAAAAGAAATCACAGACTGATTTTTTTCTCTTTTTAGAGATGAAAATGTGTATATTTTTAACGCTTTGTTTGATTATGCGTATGCGCAATTTCAAAGTGTGAATGTTAATATCCTAAGAAATCTTATATTTACACTTTTAATACAATTTAGCCTTGCGTACGGTGTCCTTCTGGCTGTTTTTTTCTTTTTGAGCGGCTAGGATGCATTGTATAACCAGCTGGGGAAAGCTGACGAAGTTCACTGACCTTTATCTAATACATTCGTATCTCATAGGTTTAGAATCTAAGGCGTTTAAATTATGATTCAGAAATAAAGTCATTTTACGAAGCATAGGCCTATCCTGCTTTTGAGTCATCTGATAGAACTGAGCTGCCATGTTTTAATGATAAAGATATTTTAAAAACCATGATTGATATAAAATTAAATGCAGTCAGACTTTCTATGAGGGTATGCCCTTTTAGGCTTAGCTAAAGTGTCCCTTGAAAAGCAGGTTACACTGAATTGAACAACAACTTGCCAGTCGTGGAGGGAACAGAATGTGAAATATAAAGGTCCCCGGATGTTATCATACCGGACAGCTCGAGGGGTTTTTTCGCGGGCACGCAAAGGAGTTACTTGCACGAAGGGGTGGGTTTAATGAACTGAAAAAGTAGTTGGAAACAAGTACTGTAGCCGTATAAAATCTTGGTCTATCGTTAGAAAAGCGAGAATACCTTAATTGGGCTCTCGAGCGCGTTTCTGGGCTGTTTCCAATAAATAGAAGCACGCTCCTATTATTCTGGGGCTTTGCCCTCAAACCATGAAGCAGCCTAACAAAACAACTGAAAAATAAGAGAACGAGCCCTCACAATCAGCCCTCGCCATATCTCTCACTGATGACGTTGGAGATTAACGAAATAATGAATACGAGTGTGGCGCACAGGTTTATGTGTTTTAGACGAACCGACCTCAGCCAGGGTATGCCTAAATCATAAAGTATAAATTTTAAACAGGCCTACAATCTTCTTATGAATCAAAAGCGAAACTGCGGGCAAATTTTAAACAAATACAGATGGCAGTGTTTAATATTGTTAAATGATTCTGACATGTCAGATAGGTACTTATCAAAAGACATACAGCATTGTGCTGTCACCGACAATAAAGAAATTGATGTCTGTACTACAATCTCAGAATTTTCGCTCCATTGCGTTCAACAGAAATGATGAAAAACGTTCCCATCTTCAATCGAAAATTCTATGGTAAGTTACAACTCTTTCATCGCAGAGTTATTTGTATGAATGCTACGAATGGAAAAAGTTTAATGAATGTGTACCTTCTTTGCCACCAAGCTGTATCAGAAGAACAGGAATTGGAAGAATTGTTTTTCTTTGCACGTACAAACAGCAATTTTAATGAGATAATGTGTCGATAAGGTCAAACGGTTTCATCTTAAAACACTCTTTTCTGTTCCCGTTTCCTTTGTTCGCTGTGAAGGCCATCGTATCGTGCTGCTTGTCTACATGCTGAGTCAAAAGAATAATTTACTATTATGATAACATAAATTGAATTTTTATGAAAAAAAATATGAGAACAAAACGAATTGCACATTGAGGCAGCTGGGCTTGTTTTTCCCACGGATATGACAGGAACAAACTAAGGCACGAATGGCATTTCTATTAAGGAAGATTTTAAATCTTGAGGACGTTTCAGTCACCCATACCTTGCTGTCAGCGCTTATCTAGTGCGACTTTGCAAATCAAACCGTTATTGTCAGTAGTAATAGTAGAGAGATTTAACCCTCAAGTGGAAAAGGTGCCTGGATCACGTTTCTCTGCTGACGAAAGCAATTGTTGGCTACACGTACATCAAGCTTCCCTCTTGCGTGCAACCCAGTTGATAACCAGTGGATTCGGCAGAAAAGTGGTCAAATAAGCAACTTGTCTCATGGTAAGTAAGCTTTTATTGTGTTTAATACCAAGAATGCATGTGATCAAGTGGTTTTAGAAAAAAAAAACTAGAATTTTCTGTTGGCCTCAACTGAAGACGAGTATCTCTTAGCATCTAAATGGCGCAGTACAGTGAACAGATAGATGTTCTTCACAAATACTCAAGTGAAGACTGAAAACGAATTTGCAAGAGTGAATTTCAATTTATGATGGATGTAGCACGCGTTGGAAAATGTCGAGGAACAATTTTACCTCTTTAAGTAGAGATGTAAATCGTCCTCGTGCTTAGTCAGAAGTCCCATGTTTACAATGACGTATGAACTCCATCTGTTTCACTATTGAGAACTTTACCTAAGGCATCGTGGAAAATATGGACGAATTCGTGATATCACTACATATTAGAATGAAGTCGTAACTGAATCTATCTTGCTCATTTAGAGGAAGGGTCTTGAAACAGTGTGTAAAAAGCAGTGACATAATAAACAGGCGATCGAACATAACCGGCAGTACTAGTTTTCTCGGCCTTGAATGCAGATTAGTGACTCGAATCAATTAATACTGATTAAGTAGTTTACTTAGCCACTTAAATTCTCTTGTTTGCTCTTACACTGAATTCAAGTAACATGCAAGGAAAATTTCAATGAAAGTCTTCGCAGAATTGAATGAATTCTCTCTGACAAAATAAACAAACCAAACCAAGCTTAAGTCAGCAATGTCAAATTGAGTGACCTTGAAGACTAGGAAATAAAACTTGTTTAATCGCAACCGGTTACAACTTCCTACATTTTAGTGTCCGGTTTCGAATTAAACCCGTCTTTCTTTAAACAGTTTATCCTCGTAAAGATTGATGTTTTTTCACAATCATTGAAAAACTTTTAACATAAATGCCTCGAAATGCAGCCGTAGAGTGGAGCTTGAATGTGACAAATGAAAAATCGCTTGATGACTTTGCGAGACAAGAATAATTGGCATGTTTTACAGAGGAGCACTGGCTAGAAGTCTGTCTTTCTGATGAAGTCAAAGGTAAGACACTTAGCAATGTTATTATTTTGCAGGAGTTGACGTTAACAGAAGGACAAATAGCAGGTAGGAAAGTAAAGAGCACGAGCATGGTGCTCGACCTGCCTCGGTGCAGGGAGGCTATCTTACATAATTTCGAGATTGCTTAAGTATCGGACTGATGGTTCTCTGATCATGCACTTAGGGTTTTTGCACTTCACAGAAAATAGGAATGACCAAAGAAGCTTTGCCTCTGTTACCTTTCACCTTGAACGACTCTTTAGCATGAAGGAAGAGAAGTTAACCATAAAACTCACGATATTTCATCGGTTTTTGGCAACTGGGATATTTTTACAAGGATTATGGCTGAAAACATCTGTAAAAGATAGTTCGGATCGCTAATTTCGATGATTGTAGTTTCTTTTACATTGTGGTTGTGCGGTTTTGTCGACTTGTGGAACAGTTTTAATGTCAGTCAATAAACCATGATGGACTTGGTAACTAAAGTGAGAATGAAGACCCAGTTGCAGAGAATATTTTACATACACCATAAATACCTACCACACTATACCCTTAGTTTAATCTCATTCATCATTATCTCATTGTACTGGTTACTTGTAGTTCGTTCAATTTTAGTTCATTTAGTTTAGTGAAGTCGGCCTTAACAACTGTTTGATGTTTATTTTACAGATTTTAAGGAGGCTTTCTCTCTTCTTGATAAAGACGGTGATGGTACCATAACCACAAAGGAGCTTGGGATACTAATGAGGTCCCTGGGTGAAAATCCAACCGAGCAGGAACTGGAAGAGATCATCTTAGAAATCGACATGGACGGTAAAAATTGTCAGATACAAACATTCTCTAAACTAGAAAGCATCATCACTTCCGGATACACTGAAAGTTATTTGTGCACTCTTTTGGCTAGCTTTTATATTTTCACGATATACGAGTAATTTACATATTGGCGGCAAAAAGGTTTTTATCCCCAAACTGAGCACTTGCCTTGCACAAATGTAAAATTATCTTTCCATGTAATTAGTTTAGCCTTTCAACTCCCATTAGAGACCAAGACTGAATTTCTCCTTACAATATCAATTGAATTTCAAGCAGACAAGTGATGCGAATAAAGGAAAATATCAATAAGGGGAGTATAAGTTGATCCAATACTACATTCTCCGAACTAACATGATAAGAATTGTATTGTACACAGTAAGGAGAATTATGAATAAGATCTGGAAGTGAAACGGCGAAGAATTTAGAAGTGGGGTGGGGTAAGAAACAGAGTAATGAAAGTTATTGAAAAGAAATAGATCGGTCTGATTCTGTACGTTTAAACTGAACTAGATTTACATTTTTCTTTTGAAGGCAATGGCATCATTGACTTCAGAGAATTTCTCCACCTGATGGATACCCGGATGAAAGAAACAGACACAGAAGCAGAGATACGAGAAATGTTCAAAGTGTTTGACATGGATGGTAACGGGTTTATAAGTGCTGAAGAATTCAAGTGGACCATGATGAACCTTGGTAATCAGTTGACCGAAGAAGAAGTCAACGAGATCATCAAAACGGCTGATTTGAATGGCGACGGACAAATTGATCTGGAAGGTAATTTCCATTTTTTTTTTTTATTCTCTTCTTTTTCATGTCCAGTGTTCGGATGTTTCATCGGTGTTTGATCTTTGCGACTTTTTCTCTTTGCCTGTCAGTTTTGTTTGCACATGTGATATAACGACTGGCTAACCCAGTCTCGTTTCTTGGGGTTAATAAAATTAAAAGTTTAGGTAAGTTTCCAAGCCAATTTATATTTTTTGACCTTGTTTACCAAACCCTCACCATAGGGATTAATAGAGGTAAATAGTCTATCTATAATTTCTTTGCGACTAAATATTTAATTACACGATTATTACAAAAGATAACATCAATAGTAATATTGAAAATAACTACCAGTAGTTAAAAGAAAGTTTGTATAAACTCTATTTCCAACGCATCGCCTAAGCTGACTTATTTCTCTTTCAGAGTTTGTCAAAATGATGTCCTCATGAGCCAGCACGTGCCATTATCATTATTTAATGGTACAGAAGTTGTGCACTGGGCACTCAAGACACAGGATTGTTTCTGGCATCGTGCTCTGTGTTTCTCTGAACGTGTCTGTAGAAATGAGTGGGACTCAAACTATCCAGAAGTTATGAACTTACACAATAGTGTGACATTACAATGTTCAATCAAAGTTAAGGATAAGCCTCTAGCAATTGATTATCCTAATGATTTGTATGTTTTACGTAATTTTATATAGTAACTGACATCAGTACTGTAAGTGCCTTGGTTGTTCAAAAACCTATCGTTTGTTGCACTGATAAAACCGTAGAAAATTGAAGTATATTTTACAAAAGCAATGGACCGCCCTTTCTATCGATTTACCGGCGTAATAACCCAATTGGGATGTTGGGAGAACACAAGAAAAGTCGGTAAATCACTTGCTTTAGGCTCTTGATTTACCAACTTCTCTCGTGTTCTACCAACATCCTAAGTGGGTTATTACGCCGGTAAACCTATCGAAAGTACGGTCCATTACCAGGACCTTAAGAAATGTGTAGAGAACAGTATGGTGAATATGCATACTGATGTTAGGCTGCAAACGGTTGAGAGTGTACACCTTCCAATGCCTATATTTTTAGCCTTTCAGTGAACTAGGTTTGTTTCATTTTGTTCCCTTTTTCTAGCTTAGTTTTTTTCCTTCTTTTTTTTTTTCCTCTTTTTTAATCACTGGTTTTCTAATTTCCATTTCCATTTTTTAGTTTTGTTTATGTGCAGCTGAGTAAGTTGTATCTTTCAAAACTAAGTCGATTTGGGAGCTAAATGTGCTTTGTAAAAAACGCGTTTACGATCTTCGTCATTGTGGAAACGTTTCAGTAGTTTGAAAGAAAATTAATTTGTTTTTATGCCGATCACCTTGAACGCCTGGTATGTATGCTGTAAAATTAATTTAAACTTCTTAACGTTCTTATGAAAAAGTCCTAACGAAAAGCTTAAATCATTTATTGATCGACGTTTTCCCCAGATTTGCCGTCATGGCTCCCTAGGATCCCTAATGAGGTCTTTCTAACGATGATTTAATCAATCAATTCTGACTTAGTCAGTTCGCATGAACAGTCACTTAATGAAGTTTTAAAATAGTGTTCATAATGATTATTTCATTCATGAGCTGGCACCTTTCCGTGGCTTCCTTCAGACACTCGCTCCTCTTGACTTGCGAATCTGTGCTAATTAGACTCTCAACAGGTCATTCAAGCCTGAAAAAGAAAGCTTTGCAATTATGAATGTACATAATGGTGATTTCTGTAACAAGGCTAAATTTGGTATCATGAGAAACGTCAGGGCCTACGTCCAAGAGATTTAGGTGCAGACATAAATGATCCAGTAGCCACGAATGCTTTCGCCCTACACATGCTCTCAAGGAATCTGGTGACCAAGGACCATATCGCCTATCGCCTATCGCTCTGACGAAGGGCTAACGCTCGAAACGTCAGCTTTTTTACCCTTTACGGTGGCTAATTTACGTTTTCAACCCAGTTGTTAACACTAAATTACCTGTTAGACAGAATCTTGATGACCTCTCGTCTCCTCTACGGAGAAAAATCCATTGGACGGGTCTGTCAACCAATCCCTAATGGATTTGTGGAACATGTGAACATGGTCATCTCGAAGAATGAAAAGAGAAGAAATACAGCCAATAACACCCTCAAGTTTTCGCTGATCGCTCAAGGGATCACTTTCTGAAGTGTTACTGTTTTGCCGCAGTATGTCCATGATGAAATCCTTGTGCAAAGGTTCTTCAGAAACAGTCAAAGCACTCAGAAAATCAGTCAAAAAATTGCCATAGTTGTCCTTCAATTCTTCCTTCAGTCTTCTCTCCATTCGCTCAAAATAGGACTGGTAAACTAAGGAAATGCCATGTGGGAATTGTCGACGAAGTTCCTCTGGACTTCCTGGTGAAGTGTTGTTTTGGATCATTTGTATTAAAAAGTATGCGAAGAGCATTGAGCCATCCGAGAGATGGACTAACTCTTGTACAGTTGCGCTGTGGCTGTCTGGGTTTGTTACGCCAGAATTCAGTTTCTTTTCAAAGAAAGTTTTGATATCATCACGATTCCGCTCATCCTCTTGTTGCAACTTGAAAATCATCAGATTGCTGAGTTTGTCTGTAATCTTTTTTTCTGGTCTTGCGGTAATTAGAAATCTTATCCAAAGCGGCAATTTAGATAAGTGATTGGCGATGACATCTAGTAACTCATTGCGTTCATCGAGTTCACTTTCGTCCAGGCCATCTATTATCACAAGGACGTTTCTGCCAGGGTCTGCCACAGCGAAAAGGGGTTCAAAGAGCCACACGAAGAGATCTGACACTCTCATATGTTCTAGTTCTTTGCCGCGCTCACTGGAGAGCTGCACCACGAGGGCTGCTTTGTATTCTGGCAATTTCGAGCTTAACTGGTAGGCCAGTGATTGAAGCATTCGTTTCGGATCACGGTAGAAGTCGCAGCTGTGTTGACAAAAATGACACCCTATTGGCCTGTCTTCCTTTTGCATTCTCTTGCAAATGACTGCACTGGCGACGGACTTTCCCATTCCGGCAACTGCAGTGATCAGCATTGCACGGTGCGGCGACCTCCTGTCATCTAACCAATGTTTTACCTTATTGAAGATCCACTCACGCGTTCCGTCTTGAAATTTAGTAAGGTAATGGTTTATGTCTCCTTTAAAATCAAAGTGTGCCAGTTTCTCTAACTCCTCATTCCTATGTAATCTGAGGACAACCAAAGCACTAGCAATTTCCTCCAAGTAGGTGTTGAACTTATGCATGGGAACTCCAGTTGATGGAGCATGACAGAGCAGATTTCGAAAATACCTGATGCGAACAATATTTGCTTCTGTTGACTTGTCGCTCGGAGGAGGCTTGTTGTTCCATCCGGTGTTCGGAGGAGACAAACCACAAATGTTGGTTAAGAGGATCACAACCAGTGTTATGTCAAACGACTCACAATCTGGTTGCGTTCCATCAAGTGGAAAGAGCTTTTTCCATTGATCATTATTAAGAACCTCATCACGTTTGAGACTTAATAGTGTTTGTTTGTGTTGACTGAGCGAAGTAGCTAGTAGTGGAAAGGGGTGATATGTATTCAGGAGTTTCCTTAATGCTGCTCCTCCCTCATTAATAACAAGATTCCATAACTTCTCACCATTGCTCTTTTCTATAGAACTGGCAAAGGGTGATGTTGGAGGACTCTCCATGGCTTCGCACGTCGAAACATCGATGTTTTGCTTCAAAGGGCCACGGTAAAAGTTGTTTATTTTCACTGAGAATAAGAATAACATTAGAACTCTCAGTAAGATTTTACTCAATATCATCCCATTTTCAGCACTCAGAAAAATATCTCACTCTACAGTCGAACTAACGTTACTTAAACCAAAACTCGATGACTGTCATAGTATACTTTCTTCTTACCTAGTTTTATGTCACTAACATTTTTGATTAGGTCTATGTTATTAAACTGACAAAATGTTGAATAAATAGTAGCAAAATAGAAGACTAGACGTTCAAAATACCATTCCATGTTGGCAGAAGACGATCAACCTTTCAATCGCAACTGGCCGACAGCCTTGTAAAAATATATCAGACATTGTCCCATCCCAAAAATTTCAATTTTTTAAAGCTTTCCCTTGGTCAATAACTAGTTCCTGGCTGTCTCAGGAACGGGAAAACTCTGCAAACCTTGTTCACTTTCTCACGAGCCAACAGGAAAAAATGGAACATTTTCTCTTGCATAAGCTCGGGTTTTAAAAATATTTATCACACAGAGGTAGTTTAATTGTTGTTGCTGTGACTGAAGAGACTTCTGAACCTTGTTTTTTCATCATTTTTTCTTTTGTCATTGCTTGTCTTTGTTTCCCTAGATACTCATATGATATGAAAATTTATGTAACTTCCATATTTTTTCTCTGAGAGATCAAATTTCAATATTTTTTTCCTTTATGCTTTATGTCTAAGCTTTATCTAACTGCACTGAGAATACATGCCGTTTTCTTACAAAACTCCGCCCATTTACGACGCTGATATTAAAACGATACAGAAGAAAAATATCGACTTTCCTAGAAAAAGAACTTGCTCTCTTGGTGGATCATTCATTATCACGTGACAATGGCACACTTGTTGAACCGCCTGCTAGATAGCAGTACACACAAACCTGCCTAGGTTACTTCAAATTTGCAAGCAATGGGTGAAAGCAAAATCTTCCTTTGAACATTGCACTAGAAATATAGCCCGTGACATTATAAGCATCTCAGCTTATGCAGCAGAAATAGCAACACCTTTTCTAGGAATTTCCAAATTTTATTCCGACAATAAATCGATCGAGGCAGCTCCACAGCATTCCGACTACAAAGTGGTTGCGTTATTTCCGAGAAATAATATTTTCAGACGTTAATTATGACAAAATTTCGCTACCTTTTCTCTTGCTCCCTCTAACAGTTGAGTGACAAAAAATTTTGACTTATTGACAATATGCAGTTAGTCCAGCAAACTCTCCTATGCAATTAGTTTTAAACAATCTTTACCTTAGGCGCTTCACTTGATCTTCAGCCGACGTAAACATACTTCCGTTGTTACACACGCAGTGTTCGCTGTTTCAGGTTAGCTATTTCCCAGAATTTTAGTTGGATCGCATGGGCTCTACTGATTAGACAGACCTACCTGCGAACACTTATTCTCTGCTTGACGTCAATACAAAGAATGTGTTTATGTGAGTAGTTTGCTTGAAAAAGGGCACTTTGCTTGACTTACTTTGCTCAGAATTACTATCGGCTGCGCTTCTTGCCTGGACTCTTGATTAGCCTCTACCAAGCTCCTTAATTTAATGTTCTCCTGTTCGAGTTTTGAAATCCTCTCTGAAGAAACAAAGAGAAAAAACTTTTTTTAGTGGAGTCGATATTTAGTATAGAACATTCTATATAAATTTTTTTCTGGTTATTCCTTCAGGAAATAGGGAATTCGAAATGAAATACAAAATTACGGTCGAACCTGTATTAAGCGGCACCACATTAAGCGGTCACCCTTCAAAACGATCGAAATTTTTACCAAATCAACAAAAATATGACAGAGCAACAGAGCAGTGGGGATCAGTTTTGTCAAATCTCCATCTGTTTTTTAGGAAAGCAAGCTGTCCGTTCGTTTGACATAAACAAGAGTCCGATATAACACTCTCCCATTAGCAGACATCTACTTTATTTTTCTTTAGCTTTTCTTTGGTGTCTCCTTGTGGGAATAATTCTCGTAAGCGGTCATTTCTACTAACGGACACTTTTCCAATACCTAAGGTTGTCTGCTTTCGAGAGAGTTGACTGTATTGTGAAAAATTGTCACCCGATTCAATTCTAGAAAGTCATCTTTTTGTGTATGCAACAGCTTTCTTGGCCACAACTGTTAAGTAGTGCGACGCAAAATTAGCTCGCATACGAGGCAGACAACCAGACGGCCTTTTGTTTCTCATTCCCGGAGAGGAGCGTCTTCGATCCAAAGCGTTGACAACGATTTCTGCGGGATCGGAATTCTCCTCAGCAAACCATGGCTCTCATTTTTGCAGAGCTATGTCTATTGAAGATGATGCGAGGGCATAACATAATGCGGAGAGTACCTGAACAATGAAGGATTCTAGCTGCTCTCTCTGTTGAGGCCTGAGCATCGGTGCTATACAAATCACAAACTAACTTCCTCGTAAAAATTTAACCATCTTTGAGGTGGCTGGATACAAGGCACCATGTTAAATATCGTTACGTTACCTGACTCGATAGATCCCTCGGAAATAGCCTTTGTGATTGTAGCTTGAAAGGCGATTTGAATTTCGCTCATGTCTTCCGCTCCTTTTGATAATTAAAATTAAGAAAACGGGAAAACAAATCAAATAGAAAAGTAGTAAGAACTATTTTTTTGTTGATTCAATTTTCGGGTCTAATTCTTCACCTCCGTTTACTTTCTTAAGTTCACTATACTCGTTAATTGCTGCATCTGATCAAAGACCATTAAGACCCTTAGCTTGCTCTAGATAGTGAAAAATACATAACTGAGCTTAATTATTTGCAAATCACCGTCCATAATTCCTTTTCGGTGACGAATCAATAATAACTATTAAAACGCTTTGACTTCAATGTTGGCAAGCTCGCAATAATCACCTGAGCTCGCCTCTAACAGCTTTTTCCCTTTCTGATACTGATCCTCGGAAATAAAGGTCTTCAGCTTCAGCTCAGTAAGACCAAGTTTCGCCAAAACCTGTGGTGTTATCAGCATTTCCTGGGCAACTGAATTAAGATGACCACTGCGATAATCTTCCCACACTCCTTCAAGGACTTGCAATGAACTGCATTCAACTGTTATATGCCAGCTCCCTACCACGTTGTTACGCACTCGAAGACGAAGATTATACCATAAGTATCGTAAGAATAAATCAACTGATTCTCTAAATGATAAAATTACGTTCCAAACAGTTATGTCTGGTGGATTATCTGGTTCAGGGTCATCAGCTCCCGTTGCTTGTCCCGGCTCAGGTAATAATAGATTTGGTACAAGGAACGTCGGTTCGGATCCAGCGGCTTGATGATATCCAGCCACGTTCATCTGTATGTCTGATAGAAAAACAACAAAATATAAACCTGCATTTGAACTCAAAAAAGAGTACTATTTGTGTTTTTTAAATTTATTTTTAAAGCAAATTTGCAAGGTCAAGGTAATTAAATGAGGATCTTCGGGAAAAATGTCAACATTGGATTAACAGTAAAGGGAACTGAGGATAAGGTTTCCTTTTTTTTTTGATGTGGATTTAAATTTACTCTTTTTGACTGACCTGCGGTCACGGGTCGTTGAGACCTCACTTCCTTTCTAAGCTTTACCAATTCATCTTTAACATCCATCAATTCATCTTTGACATCCACCAATTCATCTTTAACATTCACCAATTCATCTTTGACATCCATATCTTGCTTATACCAGCTCTCTAGCTCTTCAATGCATCTTTCCTCATCTGGCGTCAAAGGATTACGAAGAAGATCATCAATGGACTTCTTCCACTCCTCTCTCTTTGCAGGACTAATATTTGTCGCAATTCTTAACAGAGCTTCACTAATTTTCTTCCAGAGACTAATAAAATCGATGTCAGATATTTCCATAGTGGAGCGGTGACTATAGATGTCATTTCGATAATGTTTTATTCGCACTAAATCTGCCACCAGAGTGTGGTCTGAGCCGTCTGGCAAATGATCCCATCCTTTAGGGGGAGGGGTCAGGCTGCAAATTGTCCTGAATAACTTGAAGATTAATGTGATGTCAAAATTGTTGGACTTGCCATACACCCCAGTGGATGGGTACAGACGAACCTTCTCTGGCTGCGTAAGTCGTGCTCGTTTCAGCTGTGCCTGTACGGTAGAATCAGCGAGTCTCAAAGGGAGATCAGCTGGTGAGTGAATGGAGTCAAATGTCTCCCGGAAAAGATTCACACCGCCATGCATCAGTAATCGTGTCAGGCGATGAAAATTTGCTTTAAGAGTTGTTGATCGTAGGGCTTCTTCTGCCATGTCATAAATACTGGTCCTAAAATCGGAAATGAATATGACAAGCAAGTTAACAAATGCGGAAAAACCTTAAAGAAATTGATAACCATGAAATCAGCTGCAAGAGTTAATGGTGCTATTGTATATATATATATATATATATATAAAGTGTAAAATTTTGACTTTCGTAAAACATTGCTCAATACGTAGGAGTAGAGCGATGTATTGTATATATCGTGGGAGGAAAAAGACAAATAAACTACAAGGTCATCCCTACAGACCTGTTTCGTGGTTGCCCACTCATCAGGGGATTTAATAAGAATAATCTTTACCATCGCTTATATACAATATAATCTAATTTATGCAGTGCGGAATTTAACAGTTTAGTTGTTGCGTAGGAGGGCTTTGTATCTGTGGCGGCAGGAAGACACGAGTTCATTACGTTTGTTTAGTGTTAATAGTTCGGGTCGGCAGATGATTAGGATTTTTTCTTTGAGGCAGAGATTACATCTTTTACTTGAGCTGTTGTACGGCGAGTGTGATGAGAGAATGCGCCAGAAAATAAAGTGCTCGATGTTGTTGTCTTTAAGGGTCCAGATGTGCTTGCTGCGTTCGGTGGAGTTTCTATGTTTGGCGTGGCTGAATGATACGGTGTGGTTTCTGTATCTTGTTTTGGAGTCATTCTTTGTGAGTCCGATGTACGTTTCAGTTGTGTTGTTTTCTTTGCGTGTAACGGTGGCTTGGTAAATACTCCACTACAATACGTTCACCGCGAGAGCAACCACCCGCCAATCACCGTAAAGAACATTCCCGCCGGCATCAACAAACGACTGTCGTCCCTATCATCTGACAAAGCATCCTTTGACCAAGCCGCCCCTCCATAGCAGAAAGCACTCGACGAAAGCGGATACCAGTACACACTATGGTACGAGCCAGCCGAAACAAGCAAACGGAAAAACCGACAACGCAGTAACATCCTCTGGTACAACCCTCCTTTTAGCAAGAACACCAGCACCAACATCGGACACAAATTCTTCGCCCTATTAGACAAGTACTATCCAAAGATCACAAGCTCAGAAAAATCTTACACCGAAACACCATCAAGATCAGTTACAGCTGCATGAACAACACGAAACAAATAATTTACAACCATAACAAACGCATCCTAACCGCATATATACAGACTGATGACACCGCCGCCGCCGCTACCATTAATAACAAGACATGCAACTGCCGACAAAAGAACGCATGCCCGCTCGACAGAAACTGCCTGGAACCATGAAACGGAAAAAGACCTTGTTTTTGAACAACTAAATTGCGCCTTTCCGCATAACAAGTTCTATGCCCGTCCTCTCTCTGCGAGCCTTATTTTTTATTTCCTTTTCGATTTCTTCCTCTCCTCCGAGTTTGTCAGACAAAATTACCTCTGTCAGACAAATAAATCAATCAATTAGTTAAGTTGTCGCCCTTTTACCGTATTCCAGATGCAATTGCGCAAAGATTTTGTTTTACTATGAACTAGACAGCTTCATTAGATTTAAATGCATTTAGTTAATCGCCTTGTCTATTTATTACCAGATTACAACCAAAATCAACGCTTTCAACAGCTTACTGATAAAATTGTATAACATATAATAAACTAAAACTATACTGCTCTGACACCATTCTCTAGCTGCCAGGTTTTGCTCTTGTATTTTTGGGTGAACGCTGGCAAAGCACGACCATATTGGGTTAACGAAAAGTAAGAATGTTTCATCAGGCCAGGTAAAATGGGTGATATTCTTTGGTGATATTCGTCTTTGCTCACGTTACAATTTTATCAAATACGGCACTTGGCATGTTTTCAAACCTTTGTTAAGTTCTTCTGTTGCAACTTTTCGGCCCGCTTGTTCAATAATTTGACTTTTCAATTAACGAAAAAAAGCTAAAGAGAAGTCCGAGAAATGGTCAGACATTGTACAAATTGGCAGATGGAGTGACAACGTATAGTTCCGCTCCATGCTTTGTACTCTGACGGAAGATACTCTTTCAACCAATGACAGCGCACGTTATATCCGAAATTTATTAAAATCAGACTGAATAAGGTTAAATTTGAACACATATTTTCGCTGAATTAGATAATGAAGATCGGAGTTGAGTATAAATATTTTTGTTTTCAAAATTAACCAGGTATAAGGTTGAATGAAAATGTATAATTGAAAGCAAACGTCAACCTTCGAAAGAAAGCATTAATTAATGAACATTGATACTCTCTTGAAATCGTGAAATCAGAATATATATATATATATATATTATTGAATGGTGCACTTATCTGACTTCCACAACAAAGCAAATAGATTAAGAAATCAATGAATGGACAGGTACTTATTTCAAAATAGAAAAAAAAAGCCACAAAAGTGCTTACATTCAGTCGAGTCTGGTTAACATTAGAGACTGTTCTAATATTTTGTACAAATATTCGGCTGGTGCTTTGTATAGGCTTCCAGGCCCAGACTGTTTTTAACACTGGTCTTCTCTCCCTCTGAAGAACTCCTCGAAAAGTTTTAATGTTTAACTTTGCCGACTTAAATGGCATCGATCGCGAGTTAAATATGGAACATTACATGAGCGCGCGTAGATATGGAATTTCTCTTCGAATGTTCAGCTCGATAGCTTGAATGAGTAGTGTGACCTTAGCGTCTCTTTCGGAGTGAATTTGTTGGTTCCTGAATTTACCGTGAGTCTATAGTATCAAAGGAAATCTTGCTCAGCCTATTTACTATAATGCTACTAAAACAATACGGAAGAAAAATATCGAACATTCACGATTATATCTTTATTATAACCTAACACTGTGTCGCTAAAGATCTCAAAAGCCTCTGGTAAGGCTGCAATGGACTTTGTCCGGGGTTAAACAAAATTTTGCTTCAGTTCAAATCTGCCAACAGAGTGTGGTCTGAGCCGTCTGGCAAATGATCCCATCCTTTAGGGGGAGGGGTCAGGCCGCAAACTGTTCTGAATAACTTGAAGATTAATGTGATGTCAAAATCGTTGGACTCGCCATACACCCCTGGGGATGGGTTCACACAAACCATCTCTGGCTGGGTAAGTCGTGCTCCTCCAAGCTGTGCCTGCATGGCAGGATGAGCGAGTCTCAAAGGGAGGTCAGCTGGCGAGTGAATGGAGTCAAATGTCTCACGCAACAGATTCACACCGCCACGCATCAGTAATCGTGCCAGGCGATGGAAATTTGCTTTAGGACTTGTTGATCGTAGGGCTTCTTCTGCCATATTATAAATACTAGTTCTAAAATCGGGAATGAATATGATAAAAAAGTTGACAAATGTGGGAAAACCTTGAAGAAATTGATAACTATTGAATCAGCTGCAAAAGTTAATAGTGCTATATATAGAGAGAATAATACATGGGCGCGCGTAGATATGGAATTTCTCTTCTCGTGTTTAACTCGATAGCTCACGAGTGAGCTATCGAGTTAAACACGAGAAGAGAAGTTCCATATCTACAAGCAACCATGTATTATTTTGTTTATCATATAAACACAATAGCCCTTAACTGGGAAGAAAAGCCGACTTCATTAATGAATGAAAATAAAGGATTCGACGATCCTCGAAGAACAATCGTAGAGTGCGTTGGCGCTGACTGTTAAGATGGAAAAATGCGTTGAATCATGATTACAAAAACAACAATGGTCGTAATTTTCAATTTACAAAATTCTTATTTATTGACTTTGTCCTTACCGACAGAAGAAGTCTTTCAGGTAAACGGCCAAAATTGGCTGGCGGCAAATCTTCAAGTTGTCGATTTTTCAGACGAGAGAAATGCTAAAACCAAAGCCAATGACTACGCAACTTTCGGTTTTTTCTTTTAGTATATTGGTTTTCTTCCCTTTCCAGGAAAGTTTGAACCTCATTGTCTGCCAGCGATACGGATTTTTTAATGTTTTAGCCGCCATAATTCGAGAAAGCTCCGACAAACAATTTGTATTGAGAATCGTGAAGGCTTTGCCGTTCACTCATCAAACTGACCGAGTGGCGCCAAAGGCGAGTTACGTGTTAGTAGCTGATTCGCTATGTCAACACGTGTGAAAAAATACGATATTTTTTTACGTGCGTCATTACGACTTTTCTCAAAGCCGGAAATCTCTGTATAACACCGCAGTTTATGTGATAGATATATATATATACACCCCTTTTTCCAAAACGTTGCAATTTGAATATTTACATGAAATATGTATACAATGTGTATGTATTTCTCAGGCTTGTAGGGATGAAAGTATAGTCTCTTTGTTTTTTTCCCTACCTCAATATATATTGCATTCTACTTCTACGTATCAAGCACCGTACAACGAAATAATCAAAAGACAAACTTCTCACATATATATATATACAGTTCAAAATGACTAAAATGAAACACGCATGATTCCCTGTTACTCTGAGTTTCGTGCTTACGCACTCGTCAGACAGATTTTCTCAACAGCATTTGCTACTATTTCCCACAAATATATATATATTCTTCCTATGAAAAACTCCTCGAAAAGTTTTAATGTTTAACTTTGCCGACTTAAATGGTATCGATCGCGAGTTAAATATGGAACATTACATGAGCGCGCGTAGATATGGAATTTCTCTTCGAATGTTCAGTTGAATGAGTAGAGTGACCTTAGCGTCTCTTTCGGAGTGAATTTGTTGGTTCCTGAATTTACCGTGAGTCTATAGTATCAAAGGAAATCTTGCTCAGCCTATTTACTATAATGCTACTAAAACAATACGGAAGAAAAATATCGAACATTTACGATTATATCTTTATTATAACCTAACAATGTCTCGCTAAAGATCTCAAAAGCCTCTGGCAAAGCTGCAATGGACTTTGTCCGGGGTTAAACAAAATTTTGCTTCAGTTCAATAGATTAGTCAAAATGCCAGAATAATTATCGTCAATTTCTCGACAGATTTCGATAAAGCTCACTCAAGCCCGCCTTTGTATAAATCGTAAACTTGATTTAAGCTTATCAGAACTCGATTTTCCTAAAAAAAACCAACTTGCTCTCTCGATGGATGGCGCATTATCACGCTTGTTGAACGAGACGGATTACTTCAAATTCGCAAACAATGGGTAAAAGCAAAATCTTCCTTAGAACACTGCACTGGAAATATAGCCCGTGACATTATAGGCATCTTAGTTTATGCAGCGGAGATAGCGAAGCCTATTCTAGGAATTCCTAAATTTTAGTTCGACAATAAGTCGATCGAAGCAGCTTTACGACGTTCCCACCGCAAAGTGGTTGCGTTATTTCCGAGAAAGGATATTTTCAGACGTTAATTATGACAAAATTTCGCTACCTGTGTTCTTGCTCCCACTGGCAATTGAGTGACAAAAAAAATTTGGACCCATTGAAAATATCAATTAGTCCAGCAAACTCTCCTATGCAAGTGGTTTTCGACGATCTTCGCCAAAGGAGCTTCACCTGATCTTCAGCCGATGTAAACATACTTCCGTTGTTACACACGCAGTGTTGGCTGCGTCAGGTTGGCCATTTCCCAAAATTTCGGTTGGATCGCATGTACTCTACTGATTTTCTAAACTTGCATTGAATAGTAAGAGCGCATTCAACTGTATTCTAGGTAGCCTCGGGGAGGAAGGCTGCAGAATTCCTAACTGAAGCCAGGAATGAGGGCATGTGGAAACCTAGATATAAGGCATAGAACATATTAGAAAGACATACCTGCAAGCGGTTATTCTCTACTGGACGTCAATACAAAGAATGTGTTTCCTTTGAGCAGTTTTCTTAAAACAGGGCACTTTACTCGACTAACGTTGCTCAGAATTACTGTCTATTGGTTGTGCTTCAATATAAATGAAGGGATAAATTGAGTCATCTGCTGTTCAAGAACCTCTTCGTAGCCCAACGGCATAATATCAACGGTATATATGTCTAATTGGTCATGCGTTTGAACGGCGATCCTTATTGGCTCTTTTAGGCATTACAAACAATAGGCTATTGACGGCCGATTGAATTTCAATGGTGTATTTATTTTGCGAGGAAACACAGCATGCTATTGATTATCAAAATTCTGAGAATCGCAAAAAATTCAGGCTTGTATTACTATGAAGAAAAAAGACTCATCAAAATTGCTCGAACAGCTAAGCCATTAAACACCCTTTGACAGTGAAAGCATCCTTGGCAATCAACAGTATTGTTGATGGTATGTAAACTCTGCGGTGCTGTTCGTTGAGTTGCTGTGGAGACATGCCTGCGAATGCCTGTGTACATGTAACTCGCGGTTGTGTGAGCTTTGAATGGTAGGTGGCAGGGCTGCGAGAGCTTTGGGACGGAAATAGTAATTTTCCCACACAAAAACGCCAGTTAAGCCGGCTGGTGGAGGAAAGAATCAGATAAGATTTAACGGCAAACAAAGCTTCAAAATTTCGACCGTGACAGGTCGAGTACCGTGTAATAATTCTCGGAAACAAATGACAAAGGTATCTTAAAAGAGTAACCGCAGTTTGACCTCGCAGTAACATAAGGAATTCATGACAGATTCTAAATATAAACTTCCCTGTGACAAAGGTTTCATGAGTGGCAGACTTCGAGTCGTGCCACCTTGGAAAATTATAATCCCAAACCGCAGCATGTTACCTGACTGTCAACCATCTGGAAACTCAAACTGGCTGCGCTAATTATGTTTGAATTTAAAAACTCAGGTTCTTCACTGTGGGCCTGAATAGAATTAGTTCTTTCTTCTATATTAAAGATTTTTGAGAGGGATTTTTGAATTGATTATAAGAGTGAATGAAAGGATCTGAAGATTACCCAAGATAGTCCGTTCTAGTATGCAACGTAGGCGCCTAATTAGTGAGAGTTAACATTAAGAAGCTCGCGATCGTTTTAAAACCAGCCATGTTTGATTTGGAGTCAGAGTTGACCGTCAGTCACCCCCTCGGTACAAATTTTTTCTCTCCTCAGCCTTCCGCCGTTGTAAATCTCCACGCAGCTAACAACCTTCGTTGTTGTTCCTGATCATCATGTTTTGAGCAACTTTTCGAAGACAGGAAATCTCTTCTTCTTCAGATGAAGTGTGCGATGTCAGAATCAGTTGACATTATATTCTATTGAGCGTAAATGATGATTTTGGTTTGGGAAAATGAGCCAATATTGAAAGCTACTAAAAACTACTTTGCCGGTCGATTGAAGAATAAACACGTGTGAACAGTGAGTTAGTAAAACAATACGCCAGGATCGTATGGGCTTCTTTTATATCTTCTCTTGAAGTTGCTAGGTATGACTGCTTGCCCCAAATTTTGGTACTTACGGTCGGGAGATGGGTTAAACAAGCTTATTTTACCGTTTAAACAGAATCAAGTAGATAGGTACGGACCATGCGATCGACAAGTTTCTATTTTCTGTTTTCGACTGGAAAAGTTTTGACTTTGTTTTCAGTCAATTTTTGGTCCACTTAACACTGTCGGCCGACTTTCGGTAATCGAGTGATTAGAGTGATTTAGCAAGAGGAAGGGAACGTCATTTCAGGACGGGAAAGCGCGCGGATAGTCTGGACACGACTCTATTTCGACTTCCGGTTTTAGCTTTGCCGTTCTCCCCAACAAGTTAAGGACGTCATTACGCCAGTTTTCCCGTCGCGATCAAAACGCCCGGGATTTGCGTAAGTTTATAAACGAGATAATGCTGTTTGGAATTATTTCAGAACTCATTCCCAGGATAACCTGGTCCCTTCCTTTGGTTTATTCGGTGTATTTTGGGAAAATTTACCGCTTCATTTATGCTGGGTTCCCGAAATGAAACACAATCGTTGGCAAGCGCCGGATCCAAGATTTTAGGGCTCAGTACACTTGTAATTGAAGGCGAAAAACGGCGAAGGGGCTGTTCTTTGATACACTTCTTAAGTCCTGTATGAAAACTCTAAGAATGGGATGTTGTTAATTTTATCATGAGTCAATTTATCAATAAATTAAACTTGCTTGATGTTGAAGCTTATCAAAATGAAATATCACGAGGCTTACCTACTGTATTATTCAGTGTTATTTGTTGTTATTGTCGTTTTTACCGTGATTGGAAACTTTTCTGCCAATTGAAGTCAGAGATGTAGAAAAAAATGGAGAAAAGCTCAGGTTTGTACTTTTTTATGTTTGAAATTTTTGATCAAGAAAGTCATACTCTCGCTTCGAAATAAAATGACAATCAACTTGATTTCGGCACGGCTTTCAAAATCTTTTAATTTGATTCAGTCTTGAACGACTTCGTTCGTTAAAAAAAACATTAAATTAAACAAAAACCAAAAATAAAACAGGAACAAAGTCTTATTCCTAAGTCTAACCGCTTTGTTGGTGACTAGTTTGAGTTAATATCATTCTTTCACGGATAAATAGGAACTCAGCGTAAACAACTCCATCGATGGGTCGCTTGGTTTCTACATGCTTTCGCCATAACTCCTGATAATTCCGTTCAAAATGCATTGCAACTCTAAGAAGGTGGTGCTTAAAAGAGATGTACTGCCATAATTGAGAATAATATTCAGTAAACAAGGGGGAAAACGACGACGATTTCCTAATTATCCTATACAAAATTACGAAGAAAATCGAGTAGTGCTGAAATCTAGAAGCAAGAAACGAAATGACAGCGACACAAATCATAGAAAAAAAATTATTTAGTGGGCTTCAAAATTTGATAGATGGATCAGCAGACTCGGGACTAAACTGGAATGGAATAGTTTCAAAGTTTAATCGCCCATGTGGATTCATATGAACTACTTACTTGCCGTGTCTATAACTATCCTCTGTTTGTGCTTGTTACATAACTCTTAAAGAAGATAATTTCTTTGTCCTTAGAGCGGTCTATAAAACCGAAAATTCAAAGGTGATGGTGATCTTTAAAAAGTCGAGGTGAGGATTCTTGCTGCAACGACTGCTAAATCACTTTTCAACACAACGCGACGGCGTTCTCGACCCAGTTTCTTGTCGACATTTTTGCTGCGCGCGCCGTGCTAAAATGACGTTCCCGTCCTCTTGCTAAACCACTCTAATGTGTTAAAAAAAACTTCCCTAAATTATGGTGTCAATGCGAATTAATCGTTCATAATCACTTATGAAATTCCGAGATTGTACATCAATGAATTCAACAGAAAATATCCAGGAAGGTTACATTAACTGACTCTCAAAAACGGCTCTTGGATTCGAAAACTGTAAACAACAACTATTTACGCTAACCATGTGCTTACCAGCGTGCATACGAGCTCAAATTGCCACGACCCCGTTTAATTACACGATCACAGCTCGGACGCTTCTTGCAAATGTGATGACTATCAATTTCAGAGATTGATTGTTCAGTTTCCAGCATCAGGAAAAAATTATCGCATCGCAAGCGTGTTACGTTCATCATGACCCGAGCAGTAAGTACGCCTCGACATATTGAGCGAAGAGAAAGTCGCTCCATGTTTTGTGAGACAAGCCATTTCCTGAAGTTTGAACAAATCGAGTAGAGAGCATAAAAACATAGCGCTGAAAAGTACCATGACTAAACAATGAAATTCACTCATTCCACACCAGGACTGTTTTGCCGTGAGTTTGTTTGCACTATACATTTGCGGTTCATAATTTAATTCTCAGATGTTTGACAGGTTCTCACATGACAATATTGTCAAAATCAAATTACCGCGTCAGACTTAATTTAAACATGAACATCGCAGACACAAAATCGTTTATTTCAATTTTGGGAAAGCCTATTACTTCGTTCTTAGGGTAAAACAACACAACTTCGACAAAGCGCGATTTTTTTTTAAATGAATAAAGTAAATGCTGCGATAGTTAACTGAAGAGAGAAAGAGATAGAAACTTGCGCTCGCCGTTCGCTATCATTTGAAAACTTTCTAGGCAAAACAAAATCCGTAAAATAACTCATTTTCCCTTGACACCACGACTGTATTAAACAATCCAAACGATAGGGCAAGAAATAACTTGAGGAATACGAACACTTTGAAATGTTATTCGAGCGATGAACGGGCGCGAGGGTTTTTTAGACGATCAATGCCAAAGTCATTGTTTTACCGAAACGTAATTTGAATTATAAACTGAAGTTAGTATCAAACGAAGATTGGTAAAAAAAGGTTGGAATTTTTCTGGGCCTTAGCGTAAGAGAAAACCCAGATAAGACACGACCTACCTCCTCTTCTTTCTCGGATCCCATGTAATTCGTTTCTCTTTGTTGATGACCTCTTTTCAGTCTGTTTTCAGGGGCATCGTTGTATTTCCTCCCGCGTTGCTCTTCGCTAGATATTCGCCTTTTTACCTATGCCTTTTCTTGTTCTCTTTCGCTTTCCCCTCGCTGTATTCTACCTATTTTAGCGTCCTTTGTAACGTTCTTATGCGTTTTTCTCTACTCGCCGTACACCTTTTACTTCTTGCTTTATTTGGTCACTCTGCCTCTTTCTTTCCAGCCTATTTTCACTCAAAACCCTCTCTACACGGACTTGTATTATAACAATTTACTCATCTTGAAAAGTTTTAGCTCTGCCGGTATTGTTGCTTTGCGAGTTGATCAGAAATTGAAAAATACTGAGAATTACTATTCAATTACAACCTCAGCAGTTTGTTTTCCCGCTCAAAACGCGGGTTGAAAGTTTTTTGCTTACGCGGCTTCACATCTACTAGCCCACGTGTAATGCCTAACCGTGAGCCCGCAGGACGCAGCTCTTTATTGACATCTGTCGGTGTCTCCTGGCGCACACTAATGGGGTATCCAAGTTACGCACGCAATTGCACCTGCACATTACCTTCTCCCTCGCCCCTCC